TCCAGCAAAGCCTGCAGAGTGTCCTGCAGCAAAGGCAGCCTTCACATGTTAACATTGTATCATTGATGTCATGGGCCCATTTTACTGATGTGGGGAAGGAAGACACAGGAGCAGGTCCATGACCTATTGTGGGGCTATGCAGGTAGTTTTGGGGATAACTTGAAACTCATTATTGTCCCTTCCACATGAAGGCAAATTGATCTTAGTTACCAGAAACCTCTACTAATCGAAATCTCTTCCATGAATCTCCTTGACAATGAAGCACTTATGCTGGGATACTTCTTGCGAAATCATCAGAGCAAACAGTAGCTGTCCATAAATGATAAAAGACTTAAAAATGGCCACGGTTGAAGATTTAAAGTGTTCACTATGGTGTAATTAACAAGAGAATTTGGTTATTTCTGTGCCATACATTTTAAAATTATGACTAATAGCATTTTACCACGCTTTTAGGAATTTCAAATAAATCGGCACTAAAGGAAGTTTAGCATCATTCATAGCCTAATTAATTCAATATCTTCCTTTCATAAGGAAATAGAACACATCTTTTGAGATATTCTGGGGACTCTATGGAAAATTCCCAAGTTGGTTCATAGTTAAGACTTCATTGAAAATTTGATTTTGGGGAAACTTGTCAAAAATACCCAAAGGTTTAAAAATGCTTGATTAAATAGGATCACAGGTCACTGTGAAATAATACTTAGTTTCCCATTTAACTAAAGTGATAATTAAAGACTTCAAAGGCAAATGCAGAAAGTTACATAGCTGTGAAAAACATACCCCTTTTAATAGAAAGTCAGTTTTGTTAAATAATCAAAGACCTGATAAAGGTAACATGAAGCACAGGAAATTATTTTGACAAAACACAGATTCTTTGTTTTCTGGGAAGATTACCTAAAAAGTAAAGAAAAACCTTTCATAATCTCATCCAAAAGAAGACCAATAGTCCAAGAAAACTTTGTCCTTTTAGCAGATGAAAGAAAATTATGTTTTAGTTTTCCATACATACATGTTTGATATTAAAGTTTATTTTTCCTTAAGTTAATTAAGTAGGGCTCTTTTACAGAATAAAATCCTCCTCTTCATTCTCCTCACTTTCCCAGAGATCCCGCCACTTAGCATCCTAACCAGGCATTGTCACAGGTGCCCAGATCTTCAGCCACTATCGCTTGCAACCTCCTAGCTTTGCGGGAGGGCACGCCACGGTCTCCAGCTGATGATCCTGCTCCTCCAGCTTGCTGGCCAGCCCTGAAGCTGGCAGAGCAGTGGACGGACCACCATTTGTTCTTCTGTATCCTCAGCTCTTCCTCCAACTCTGTAACCCGAGCTGCAGCCTCTGGTGGGACATCAGTGCCAGCCGAACAGTGCACAGTCGGGGCCAGCCCACTGTGGCACGCTGTGTTTCCCTTCTGTGCTGCAGTGCGCCGTGCATGGGTCTTTGCACAGGTGCATTAAAGCATCTCCTGTTGTCTCATAATAGTCTGCAAGCGTCTAATATATGGGCCCCTCCTTCCTACTTAGAGGTCGGTAGCCAAGTCCTGCGGATGCCTCCTTCCTGGCTGGCTCACCAGTTGTTAGTTCACGAGCTCCTTGGGGCTTCCCAGGTGTGACTGGAAACCGGCCTGCATAGGTGGAGGGCAGGAAGAGATGGAAGGAGGAGGAAGACCACTTCGGATGGGTAGGTGGTAGTTTTATTAGCAAGTGAGCTCATACACGAGGCTTGCCTTGGGGGGCCACAAGATGAGATTTCTGCAGTCCTGTCCACCCGATCTTGAAAATTGATGTGGAGGTGTTACCTGGGTTCTGTCACATACCCTGTCCTGAGAGCCCCGACAGCGCACCTCTCTCTTCAAGGCTTGGTCCTTGGGGCAGCTTCTGGGAGTGGGGAAGGCAAGTGGGGCTCCCATTCCAAGGACAGGTGGGGGATGGGGAGCCTGTGGTTGCCCGGTCCAGCTTGCAGGTCAACCGGCGGTCAGATCTTCTTGATGACAATCTTCAGCAGCGGGGCACTGCTATAAGCGCTCTGAAGCATCCTTCTGAAGTGGTATTAAAGGTTCAAGCAGAGAATCGGAACCATTCTAAAAGGCATAGAATATGGCTTTATTGTTTACTGCAGGGATGAGACTTTCCAGGCTGGTGGGGGCTGCAGAAGAAGCATCTGTCAGAATATTGTCCCTGAAGGCAGCAGGGCTGCCTGGAAGGAGGGAAATGGGGGTGTAGAGCGAAGCAGAGAGCAGGGACAACAGGAACCCCGCAGAGGGACTGGAACTACACTTGTCCCTCACTGGTGTGGCCTCAACGATGTGGGTGATTAGAAGCAGAAGCCTTGACAAGCTACTGTGGTCCCACTCAGAGTTGTTCTTATACTTTTTCACATTGCACCGTTGGTACTTTTTCCTAGGTAATCAGTTCCCAACGTTTCTTTTATAGGAGTGCTTCGCGTACTTTGGGGCTTGCGTTAGCGCTTAGTGTGGCTGTTCAGTGGAATGAGTTAGTGCATGTGTCACATGCTTGGACCCTTGAACATGAATTGCTACATTGACTGCCCATTATTTGCTTGCCAGGGGCTGCGGTATCATACTCCCTGCCTCGGTAGAGAAAAATAAGCTGAGAGTGCTCGGGTCTGCTTCCCCAGTAAGCAGTGGAGTCCAGATGCGAGCAAAGGTCCGCTGGTGCATCACTGCCCTTCAGCCAAGACCCCCTATCCAGCAGTGAGCTCCCTGGGATAGGGAGAGGAGACAGGAGATACCCTAGGGATAGGAGAGCACAGCCAAAGCTATTGTGGCTTGTCTCAAGATACATTGCGGGGGGAGTGCCCCAGCTCCTTGGGACTTAGATGGGGTGAATGCAGACTCTCTCTACATCTGGGAATTTAGGGATGAGGGCTTTGCCAACAGATTGAATGGAATCAGAAAGACTTCAGGTGTGAGGGTTGAGCAAAAGAAGAATTCAGCCTCTGAATTTGGGGTCTCAAAGTGCTTGACTATGTCAGTCTCCCAACTTTAGTTTTCTGAATCCTGTCAGCACCTGGGTCTGTGTTGATATGTTGCCTTAGAGCCTGTGGGTGCCGACACCCATGATGAGAGTGAGTCCCTGCACAAAGGGAGCTGTGATTTGCAGATCCTTGCCCACCCCCACTCCTTCCCTTTGTGGACCCTGCTTTGTCACCTCATGCACAGCAGAGACTCAGGATCTACAAAGAGGCTAGGTTTGGCATGGTCCTTACTGATAATTTGAGGAGGTGAAAATTATAATTAATAATAATAATAATAAAAAAATTCAGTGAGGTGATTCTTTTAAAGAACTTAAAAGTTCGAAATAATGTTAGATAAAAGAGTTGCAAAGATGTTACAGAGATTTCCTGTATATCTTTCATCCAGCCCCCCCTGATGTTAACATCTCACATAGATAACCAGGACACGTTTGCCCGAACTCCGAGATTACTGGGCTATTACCAAAACTCCAGGCTCCATTCCAGTTTTCCTAGCGTTTCCACTTAATACCCTTTTTCTGTTCCAGGATCCGGTCCAGGACAGTACAGGTAGTGATATGTATGAACTGAGTAAATTTTGGGGTGGAATAAAGGGCATAGTTTAGACCTCTGTCTCCATAGTTTACAATCTGCGAAAGGTTCTTGGTTGTTCCTTATCTTTCATGACCTTGATATGTGTGAACAGTAGTGCTCAGGTATTTTGTAGATTGTCCCTCCATGTGGGTTCATTTGGTGCTTTTTTTCAAGATTGAGCTGAGGTTATGGATTTTTGGGTAGAACACCAAGACCTGTTCTTCTTGTCCTGTCATCTTATATCAGGAAGCACATGATATCGGCAGGACTCATTAATGGTCCTGCTAATCTTGATCACTTGGCTTAGATCCCTTGCCAGGCTTCTCCCCTGCAAAGTTACTATTTTCCCCTTACCATACCCTACTTGTTAGATACCCATCACTAGCCCAGCCCACACTCAGGAAGGAGGGAATTCAGCTGCACCTCATAGAAGAAGGATTAGTAAAGGATCTGGGGACATATGTTAAGGCCAACCACCATTGATCAGTATTCTGGGGGAGATGCTCTGATGCCTTGCAGATATCTTGTTTCCGGGGAGGTGATTTTCGAATGATTTTGTTCAGTTTTGAAGCCAGGAAAACAGGCTGTCTTCCTTCTTCCCAGCTTTCTGGCACTAGGTTAGTGAGTTTGGATAATAAGATGATTCAGAAATCTTACTTCTTTTGTATACGTGATGCTTTATCAGACTTCTGCTGGCAGTTGCATGTTAGTACTGGAGAGAATCTGGAGGCTGTGTCTCATGATGCACAGGAGCTCCAGGCTGAGGAGCGTGGGGGGCTCTAATGTCATGAGATGGTGATGCTTGCTTTTGCGTGTGTGACTCACTCATTGCTTGCAAAGTTAAGGTCAAAACTTATAGGAAGTGCTATGATAACGTCAATAGCAGACTTTATTTTTAGCTGCCTTTTCTGCACCTTGAAGGCTATATTTAAACTTCTAATTGCCTTGTGTGAATTTAAGGAAAAAACACACTTGTATGTAGCTTCATCCCTAATTGGCCCTGTGGCTCTGTGTTGAAGTGTTCTTAGTCCAGTGGCGTACTTATATGTTCCCATATTCCCCAGCTGCTTTTTGAATTGTTTGTGAAAAACCACACATAGCATGCACTCTGTTTAGCATTCCAGTTACATTATTGATCAGTGATTGCCAGATATTTTGGCAGAAGAATTTGAAGGGGAATCTCCTACAGGAAGAGGAATACTCAGTTGTCCAAGGGAATATAAATCTGGATTATCGGTTTTTGATCATCTTTTCCAATTCCCAGGGACACAGGTAACTAGCGAACCTATGAGACCGAAGAAGATACTGCCACCTGGTGGCAGCATACCCAATTGATCATTTGTTCAGGGAACAAAGGATCCTTAAGGCAAATGGTTTGCTGGCAATCTGTTCTAGCAGGAAGCGAACTTTTGAAATCTGGAACTTTCTCTTCTAGGATGACTTCCTGTTCAGCGTCTCTATTTTAAGTGGGATCCTTTGCAGTATCCTGGCTGTGTTGAAGTTTATGCTGGGGAAGGTGCTGACCAGCAGAGCACTCATAACAGATGGTGAGTAAGGCCGGTGAGCCTGATCCTTGGGGGGCTGGGCTCACATGGAAAGAAGGTGCTGTTCAGTTGCTTGTCCTGCAGAAGAGCTCAATAATTTGGAATCTGTTCCTCACTCTCCTCCCCTCCACAGTCTGTTTAATGATTCTCGGGTTCCCATATTAGGGCCAATGTCTTGTACCCTGGGAAGTTAATAAATTTCATGAATCACCTCCACTCTGACCTCTTAACAGTGGGTCAGGGCTCCCAAGCCTGTGCTGTTTGTTAAAAGTTCAGATTCCAGAGCCCGAGCCCCTGAAGAGTCTGACGCTGGGAGCTGGAGGTGAGGTCCAGGAAGTTGTCATTACACCAGTGCCTTAGTCTGTGCGGTGCATGCTGAGATCGGGTGCTGCCTTCACGGCTGAGCCAAGGGGCCAGGACACAGCGTCACAGTGCTCCTACATGACCTTTTGATCACCAGCTTCTCTAGTCTTGCTCAAATACCACTTTCCGCAGCATCTGCTGGTGGCAAGGCAGGGCTGCCGGGGGCTGTGGAGGCCCTTTGCCCATAGGACACCAAAGCTTCTTAAACAGCAAAAGCCATTTAAGGCAGTAAGGGGATCAGCGACTGGGACTGAGCTGTCCTCTTCCCTGATTTTCAACCAGTGGGAGGCCCAGCCTGGCTTCTCAAGCTCCCAGGTGGAACCCAGGGTGGGGGCAGCTGGGGAAAGGCAGGACCCAGCTGGCATCAGCTGGAGTGTTTGCTGCTGGGACAGCACGACGCCACAGGAGCACACGGGGCCAGGGGGCTGCACGGAGCTCTTCTGTGCCGGGCACCGGAGACCAGCGTCTGACACAGAATTGGAACCAGCTCTGTCAGGTTTCTGTCCCATGGTCGTGCAGGCTCCTGCCTTGTCCCCAGAAGTGCATTTGCCCCTTAGAGAACCCCTCAGAGGTAAATGAACTGCTCTTTCCCAGGGCCCGATCTAACGAGCTGATGAGGTGGTTCTGTCCGTGAGAACGCTGCCTGCATGCTTGAGGCCCCAGCCTGTGTGTCTTCTGAGGGCTCTGTCACAGCTGAGATGCTGGGGCTTTCTAGGCATCTAGTGTACGGCCCCGTCGGACCCTGGCCCGAAAGGGTACCCTTTCCTCTTTGGGGGCAGACCCAGAATCTGAGGAGGAGTCTTCATTCCCCGTGATCTTTGTGGTCTGGTGTTTTCTAACCCGGCAAAGAAAATTCCCTCCTTTGGACCTGGCATCCTCCTTCCCTTGGGGAGGAATAGCTCAGGGCGTGCTTGGCTGAGCGCTGCAGGCCGGGCGGGCATTACCCAGGGCTCTGCGTGTGGTTGCTCGGAGGCACGCCGCTCTGCCAGGGCCCCGGAGGCCTGAACAAAGAACAGAGGCTTGGCTGGCCTGAGGCTCCTCCAGCGGCAGTTCTGTGCCTCCCTCTCCGCATCTCTTTGCCTGGAACCCGAGGGTCGGGGCAGGCAGGCCTGAGGGAGGCTGCGCCCGTCAGCACAGCACTCTGGGCTCCCAGCGGTCAGTACTCACCAGGGGCTCTCCTTTCTGTCGTGGTTGCGACACAAGCCCACTGGCCTGCCGAGCAGCAGCACTTTTTCTGTTCACCTGAGTGCAGTGGAGACACACAATGTGCCTCCTGCACCAGAAGCCTGGATGTGGACCCAGCAGTCAGCCCTGCCCCTCCAACCACGATCACGGGGCTCGGCCCTGACAGCAGTCTTCCTTCCTGTTAGATATTCCAGGTGGTTTCTGTTGAGGCTTCTGTGTCCTTCTCACTTCCTACCACTTTATATGGTTTACGCAGAAGACCACCGTGATTAGTATTTTTTTAAATAAATAACTTTTTAAAAACAATTTTATTTATGTACTTGTCAGAGAGAGAGAGTGAGCACACGAGCAGGGGAACGGCAGGCAGAGGCAGAAGGAGAAGCAGGCTTCCCGCTGAGCAGGGAGCCTGGTGTGGGACTCGATCCCAGTACCCTGGGATCATGACCTGAGATGAAGGCAGATGCTTAACTGACTGAGCCACCCAGGCGTCCCTAATGGATAACTTGATAATCTTCACACACAAAGCCAGCTACACACACGCAGTGTTTCCATCACAGTCTTTTTTTTTTTTTTTTAAAGATTTTATTTATTTATTTGACAGAGAGAGATCACAAGTAGGCAGAGAGGCAGGCAGAGAGAGAGGAGGAAGCAGGCTCTCCGCTGAGCAGAGAGCCCGATGTGGGGCTCGATCCCAGGACCCTGGGATCAGGACCTGAGCCAAAGGCAGAGGCTTAACCCACTGAGCCACCCAGGCGCCCCTCCATCACAGTCTTGAACCAGGCAGGGGTTGTGACAAAGGGAAGTAGATGGTTTGAGAGGAAACTATTCCACCCAGAGGCAGAAAGCAGGGGGAGCCATCCTGGGGGTCGTGGTGGGACAGAATCTGGGTTTTCGGGGGGGGGGCATGTTGGGTGAGGGGGCACGGACATGGAGTCCACAGTAGGATTCTGGATGTTTTGTTCAATATTTAACACAATGGTGACATGATCGATGTTTTTTAAAGAGCCCTCTGGCTGTCAAGGTGGGGCAGAGTGGAGGGAAGGAGAGCTGAGGTGGGAGAAGTCTAGGGAGCCACGGGGTGGCAGGGGCCGGGACAGAATGGGGGCAGAGAGGTGGAGAATGGGGGTGGATTTGAGGAAGGTGGGGCAGTATCTGTAAACCAGGGCTCAGGGCTGAATGGTCATCAGGGGCCGATGAGAGAGAGACACAGAAGGACAGGGAGCACTATAGCAAAGAGCCAAGACAGCTGGCCACCCCATCCCCAAGCCTGTTACCCATAAGGGGCCCCTGGCGGGTCGGTGAGCTCTGTGGTCCCCTGCTTGGCGGGAGTGCCAGCAGACAATGCTGCAGTCATTACGGCCTCCTGCTAATTGTGTTGTCTGGGCTCCCAGTTGTACTCCTGCACTGACTAGATGTAGGGAGCTGTGGGTAACTATCTCCTCTCCTTCCCTCTTTGGGAGGTGGGGGCGGGATGGGCTTCAGGAGCCATGCCTATCTTTAATGTCCGAGGTCTCCTGCAGGGCTGGCTCTGGAGGGCATCCCTGGTGGCTGCTGGCCTGGGAACGCCCCTCTTCTGGCCCTGGGGCTGGGGGCAAGCCAAGGGCTTCTCTCAAGGAGGGAAGCAAGTTCAGCTCAGGGCTTCCTGTGCGGGGAAGGAGTGCAGGCCTTATCGGTCACCGGGGGTGATGGCCCTTCCTGCCGAGATGCAGTGCGTGAATGGGGTCAGGCTGACTCCACCAGATCCTTTGTCACTGAATTGTGTCCTGACCTCTGGGAAGCAGACCGTCAGGGAGAGCGGGACAGCAGGTGTGGGCAAATTCCAGACACTCCCACTCTGTCAGGCACATCTTGTCTAACTTGGCTTTGCTGCTTTGAATATTCAGTCAACATGCGGTTTTTGCTCAGCATGAGGCCGAGGTTGGCTTTGTGTTATTGAGGTAGAATGTTTTGCACAGCAAGTGAAGAGTACCAGTGGGGCAGAGGGGGACTGTGGAGAGGTCCTGGCGGAGATTCCGAGCCAGGAGCCAGCAGCTGGGCTCTGGAGCTGCCTGCGGCCACAGATGGAAATCTGTCTGAGCAGAAGGGCCTGGGTCCACGGTCCTCATTCCCCAACTTCTGAAATGCCATGAGGCTGGGATGATTTTTCGGCACATGAAGAACTTCAGTCAGAACTTTTTGCATAAAATGAATGTGCCCAATTCTACAGATCCTTCCCTAGTCATTGAGGCCAGACCGGGAGAGCCTCTGGCGTGATAATTGTGTTCTGCCATCAACAACAACATTTGCTCTTGATGACAGGTCCGGTTTTAACCAAGGGGACAGGGACAAGCTGTGAGGCTGGGTGGAGGGGGTGGTGACATCGCCTAGAAGTGACTGACCCACAGGGCTTTGTGTGCCAGAGTTGAAGATGGGAGGTCTGTGGGGGCAGGGCTGGGAACTCGCTGTGGGATGCTAGCTGGGAAGCCTGTCCCTTTTGAAGGATGTGGCACGGCAGATCCAGAATTGTACCCTAGCCCCTGGGCCCTTGTCCCTCATTCCTGCGTGGGCTTAGGAGAGGTGGGACTGACTCTATCCAGCTCTGTGGCCCGTGGAGGTGAGTGGAGCCGAGTTAGTTGAAGCTCTTTCTGTGAGCTGTGTGCAGAGGGTAGGCCCTGCGGAGCCGAGTGACTTGCTGGAGCTGAGGGGACATCTAGTGGCCAGTGAGAGGACCCTCACCTGCTCTGCAGCCTCTCTGAGCTTCTCGGAAGGCTCCGCCTGCCCCTGATAAAGATGGAGCTGGGAGCAAATGATTCCACGCTGCCCTGGGGCAGTGTCCAGCTCCCCCGTGTCTTCCCCTTGGTTCTAGTCCCGCAGAACTAAAACTCCCCCATGCCAAGAATGCCCAAGATGTAAACTCCAGCCCAGGTAGCCTGGGACAGAGTAACGGACTCTGCCGGTGCTATTGGTGGCCTTCTGAGAAAAGCTGTGAACTGCAGAGCCTTTTTCTTTTCTAAGAGGATTGTCCTGATTCCAGGTATTACAAAGGACAGGAAGGACTCAAGGGACCGCCAGAGGCGAGAGGGCAAATGCCAGCTTCTCATAATGGGAGGGGAGAGAGGATCCTGATGGATTAGAAAACAGGCAGGAGATACGGCCCCCGCTTCTCAGGACCCGCCGTTCCCCTCCTGGGGGAGGTGTGGAGGCAGAACCGAAGACAGGACTACAGAGGACAAAACCATGGGTCGTCAGCGAGGGAGAAAGGGCCAGCATGTTCCGTGTATCAGGGAGGGGGATGAACTCAGCCTGGCTGAAGGGGGGCCGTGATGCTTTTGAAATGTAGGCTTTAGAAGCGTCTGCTCCAGAGCTGCCTGGAGAGTGGAGATTGAAAACCTGCTGAGCCCATTTCTTCATCGTTCAGAGCTAGGTGAACATGGGAAGCCATAGACACGAACCACGCAGGGGCCACTTGGACGAGGGGAAGCCAGGAGGCAACACGTCTGTCCCTCACCTCCACTATTAGAAGTGGAAGATTTGGAGGTTGAGACCTGGGAATTGGAGCTGGTGGGACACATCTCTGGTGAAGCAGAGGTCACCATTCAGCCTCTGCTCTCCTGCTGTCTCTGGGGCACCTGGGACAAGCTCTTAGACTGGCCAGCTATCAGAAGAGAGGGAGAAGAGAGCCGGTGAGGGGTGGAGGTGCACACTGTAGGTGGCAGGCAGGGCTGGCCTGGCTACACACGGGAGTGCTGGGACAGGCCACGGCCCAAAGAGCCCTCACCAGCTCCCAGCTCCCTGCAAGTCCTGGCTTCCTTCTCATCGCAGTTCCCCAGGCTGGCTGTCGGAGGACATGGCCCCCAGATGGGAGGAAGGTGGAGGTGTCTGCCTTTCCCAGTCTCCACCACTATTATTCCGGTGAAATTGGCTTGGAAACCTTCTCCAGGGATGAACCGTGACCAGCCCTGAGAAGGGAGTGTGGAGGCTGACTCTTCCCGGGAGCCTCAGGCTCCACCGGCCATGAAGGAGTGTACGCTCTGCTCCGCTCTACACCTTCCTCTCAGGGGCAGTCTCTCCAGGGCCCTAGCCACAGACCCTGCATGGGCTGGGAGGTCCCTGGAGCCGGGGCAGGGATGGCTTCCTCTCTCTTGGGTCCGCTTAGCCCAGCTGCTGCTCAGTGGGAGCCCTCTTCGCACAGGTGAAGCCATGCCCCTATCTATTCATTCATTCATTAATGTGGCAATCAGCTGAGCCCCTGAGAAGTGCCAGCCGTTTCTGGGACTCGGAATACATTGAGACCCAGTCCTTGTCCTTCAGCTTATGCTTCCAGAGGGGAAGAAAAAGATGTTTGTAAAAAGAAAAAGTAAAAATCCCTTGCTAGGAAGTGAAGCGCTCTGGGGGAGTAGCAGGGGCAAGAATGAGAAGGTTGGGTGTGGATGGGGGAGGAGGGAATCACTCTAGGGCTGTGCAGGTTCAGCCCAGGCAGGAGGCAGTGTGGGAGAGCCCAGGAAGAGAGGTGTGGGATGATGGAGGGAGGGTGAGTCTGGAGGCCGCGGGGGAGGCCAGGGTTGGCGGCTGCGGGTGCCGTGTGGTTGGAGCACAGCAGACGGGAAGGTCAGTGTGTGATGCGGGAGAGGTAGCTAGCTTGTGCCAGCCTTGAGGAGTTTGGATGGGATTCAGAATTGGGCAGCTTTTCTACTGGAGGCCTTTAGCTGCTTTCTATGGGGGGAGGGAGGGGTGGGCAGAGGGGAAGCAGGGAAGGTGCTGAGAGGCTGTTGCAGGGGTGTGGTCAAGGGGCAGGTGCCCTGGGGTCCAGGTGGTGGTGAGAGGTAGGCAGAGTTGGGGAGGCAATAGCTGGAAGAATCACTCAACAGATGGGGTAGATCTAGGACTGGTGACATTTTGGGTGTGAGAGGTGTTAAGGATGGGCTCTTCGCTTTTTGGCCGCTGCAGGAGGATGGTGGCACCATTTACAGAGAAGGTAGGGAGAGGGTGAGGTGTTTCGGGGCAGAAATTGAGATTTTGGCTTTGAAGATGTTCAGTCTGAGATGCTTGGGAGTGCGGCTGCAGCTCAGCAGAAAGACCCGGCCCAAGAGCCAGTTGAGAGACCCCGGTGTGGGGAGGGCAGGCACTCAGCCAGGGGGAGGCTGGAGGCAGGGGTGGTGGAGGAGGAGTTCCCACCACTGCACAGGGGAACCCCCAGGGGAGAGAAGGACCCAGCAGCAGAGGCCAGGAAGGGATGGCTGGAGTCAGGAGAGGGCAGCCAGCCATACAAAGAGGAGCATAGGTTATGAACCGGGGCAGGTGGCAGCTAGGTCATCGATGACCTCAGGGCTGTGGTGCTGGCGTGGGAGGGGTGCAGTGGGAGTGCGCTGAGGTCCAGGAAGGAGGCCTGGGGCTGCTGGGGAGGAGGAGGTTTCTCCCGGGGCGGGGGGGGGGGGCATGCAGCTGTATGTAGGGACAGCAGCTGCAGACGGGGGTGGGCAGCAGGCACCATGGATGGTGGTTTGTGGCGGGGTAGGGGTGGGGGAAGGTGAGGTGGGATTGTCTGTACCTACATGCTCCACGTGGGTCCAGGTCGTAGCATTAGCTGAGAGCTGGAGTGCGGAGGGGACAGACTGAAGGAAGAGAGGAGGGTCCCAGACAGAGGCCAGCCATCCAGCTGGTTCCCCTTATTGGAGAGTGGCCTACCAGAGGCCACCCCCTGGGTGATGAGAAAGAGGTTGGACGCAGGTTTCGCTCAGCTGGGTCCTACTCTCCCCTGCTCTTCATCTCAAACCTCTCTCCTTGGCGTCCAGCCCCCCCATGTGTGAGTGGGTCATGTGGGGCTGCCCCAGAACCGTGGTGGGGGGGATGTTGTAGGGGAGGAGCGTGGACCCAGAGCTTCTCTCCGGGCTGTGGTTGTGCTGGGGGGCGGCGAGGCCTTCCGCGGCTGACGCCTTCTGGGCCCCCAGCAGCCATTCTGAGCTGTTCTTTCCCATGTGGCTTTTGAAAACTCAGAGGTCAAATGAAGTGGGGACCAAAGGTGGTGCCCTAAGTGGGAGGAGAGGCTGGTCAGTATCTGTTTGCCCCAGTTCTGTTTGATTGCCTTTTCTGCCACCCCGCCACAAATTCTAGACTCAGCACTTCCTCTCCTGGACACTGAAAATGCTCAGCTGATGGGAGGCCCTGGAGGGAAGGGATGTGGGTGTGGGGAGAGTCCCAGCCTCACCCTCAACCTGGGACTCCTCCTGTCATAGTGTTTCACCTCTCTGCTGAACCTTGCACTCTCACTGGCCAAGTGGGATCATGGTCGGACTTCATAGGGTTGAGAGGATCCCAGCTCAGTCCTCGGGCCTGCAGACATTGAGTCACTGAGGATCTGAACATCTCCTGGGTGCAGACACTGTCCCAGACCCTGCGGGCTCAGCAGGGATGGGAGCCTGGGAAGCCGAGGCACTCCTGGCATGGCGGGGGGGTGGTGTCTCACAGGTGACTAAGAAAGTTCTCCTGGCCCTGCCCTCAGCCTCTCCTTGCTGTTTCTCCAGGGTTTAACTCCCTCGTGGGCGGCGTGATGGGCTTCTCCATCCTTCTGAGCGCGGAGGTGTTCAAGCATAATGCGGCGGTCTGGTACCTGGACGGCAGCATCGGTGTGCTGATTGGCCTCACCATCTTTGCCTACGGGGTCAAGTAAGTGCTCCTTTTGTCTCTGCTTGCCCAGGAGCCACGAGTGGCCGAGTTGGCACTCTTGACTGTCATGCCTTGTCCCTATGACCCCTCTGAGCCCAGGTGAGTTCAGACGACCAGAAACGCCCCCAGCAGGGGCCCGGCATTTTCGTGGCGCGCAGCCTTTTCCTGTGGTCTTCCTTTCTCTCATGAGGGTCGTAGTGATACACGGGCAGGGCACGTTTGCGGGGTGTCCTCACAGGTCAAGTGCCTCCTGCCCTATGGGGTGCTCCAAGGGGCAGGGCACAGCAGCACCAGTCCACCAGACCCCACTTCAAGCATTTTTCCCGAAGGAACATGTCACTGCAGAAGGGCCACACTCGGGGGTAAACCTAGCCTGAGTCCTGTCACTGAGGACGCGCTGTGCAGGCATCACTGTGTGTTCCAGCATCCAGGCTGGAGTCGGCCTTTGGGAGAACCGTTTGTGAAAGGCACTGGGTTTTTCATTGTTAAGGCGCTTCCTGCCTCCCATGAGGACAGCTGTAATAAGGAAGACGGACCATCGGGGTTGGCCAGGATGGGGCTGGTGGGAACGGACCATGGAACGGCTGCTTTGGAGACAGCAGAGTCGTCCCACACGCCCTGTTAATGCTGGAGTTCCCGTTTGACCCAGCAGGCGTCACTCTTTGGGGTCTACTCCAGGGAAAGGAAAACATGCGTCCTGTAAGGACTCCTGTGTGAATGATCACAGCAACATTACTGATGGTAGCCAAAGAGTAGGCACAACCCAGAAGTCTGTTAAATGCATGAATGGATCACTGTAGTAGAGCTGTATCACAGCGTAGTCCTCAGCCCTGAGAAGAATGAAGCATTGCTTCAGGCCACAATGTGGATGAACCTTGAAAACACGGAACCAGATGTGAGCAGCCGGTCAGAAAAGGCCATGGGTTAGGTGTTTCCATGGAGAGGACATACCCAGGAGAGGCCAGAGCAGGGAGACCAGAAGTAGATCAGCAGGTTGCAGGGGGCCTGGGGAATGACTGCAGTGGGGCATGGGGTTTCTTCTTTGGGTGACAGAAGGGTTCTGGGAATTAGATGGTGGTTACCACCTTTGGGCATACTAAAATGCACTGAACTGTTTACTTGAAAAGGTTGAATTTCATGGTACAGAAATGAGAATTTCTAAAAAGCCTTCTGCTTCCTTCCCCAAACCCGCAAGGGGGTGACCTTGGTGTTTCCTTTCTGCAGACTCCTCATCGACATGGTGCCCAGGGTGAGGCAGACCCGCCACTATGAGATGTTCGAGTGACGGTGGCCAGCAGGGCCTGGGCCGGCTGCTCTGCATCCGCACCAAGACCGTCAGGACAACGAGGTTTCTACACAGGCAGATGGTGCCAGTATTTCATTGAACATCCAGTTTCTTTCTTGGCAAGTTTGTGTTCATGGGAACAAGATCTGCCCAGCAGGTCAGTCGGCACCGCTCCCCTTGCTCCACTGCCCCCATCAACTGTGTTAGGACAATGCGCACAGGAGCGGGGACAGGCTCCACCCCCTCCTCCAGCGAGAACTGACCTTTTTCTATTCTCTGCAGTAAAAAAGGTTCTTGTGGGTAAGGTAAGATCTTTACTTGGCAGAAAGTTCCTCTGCGGTGCTCTAAGCCTGAAATGGATAGCAAGTGACCAGACCCACCTCCTCTGGACCCCCGGTAGCCCCTCCTGGTCCAGAGTCTCGCGTCTCCTGGCAGATTCTAAGGGAAGACTGTCCCTTTAGTCCCTCGCCCCTTGACATGCCCAGAACCATCAGTACAGATCACTTCCTAATTTCTATCAAGGTATTTCATTAGTTTCATACTGTTTTACTAATCCTGACTCTAAACAGATTTGTCCAAAAGGAGACCATTCTATTTTTAAAGTACTTCATGACCCACATATGAGCTTTGCATGGTTGAACTAAACACATGACCCTGTCTTGTACATTCAGAACCTGAACCTACATGTAAAAACAGGATCCATTTTTGAGAGATGTGAAACAACAGTTTATTTGTAATAAATATATAATCTATCCATATATGCATATATCTATATGCTGTGTTAAGTGGTAATGGTACATTACAGTCTGTTAGAGATGGCCCCTCTGTAAGGAACAAGATGTTCTCTGTTAATGTAATGTTAGGTGTAGACTATAAAAATGTTCCCCCAGCACACAACATTCTGTACCTCTGGAGCTGCTGCTCGTCCAGGCGACAGTGTCCGACCAATAAAGACCTTTACCTGTTTTGTATGGTACGGGGAGGTTATCTTGAAGCGTTCTCACTGTCCCAGGCGGGTTTTCTGTTGTGGACAGAGGAGGCTGTGGACGGGGTCCCTTGGCGGTGAGGGGGGAGACCCTGAAGGACCGTCCCAAGGGGCGCTGTGCGCCCTGCGAGGTGGGGGGGCTGCACGGTGATTTGGTGGTGTGCTTGGGGGCTGTCTCTGGCTCACTGAGGGGAGGTGGTTCATTCTGAGGCGTCACTGACCTTGATTCAATCTGACACGCCCCACGTGGTTCCTTGGAAGGCATTTTGAGGAGTGTTGCCTGGGATGTTAATAGGTCACATGGAAAAGAGTTGACTGTACGAGCAGGTCTGGGAAATGCAAGAGTCGAAAGATTTCTTTTCTCACTGTGTCGGCATATGCTGTGGAAGCTTCAGGAGAGGAAGCTGTGATGGAGTACCCCTCAAACATAAGCACTCCGGTTTTGACTGGCACGTGTGGGGACTTGTGCCCCACAGAGGCATGACAGGAACTGCATGGTGTCTGCGTTCCAGGCAGTAGCCAAGAGTTCTGCTGGCTTCCGAGAGGCCGGCCATCACTCGCCAGCATGATTTCAGACAAGCCCTTGGTGTGGGCACGGACATGACCTTCCTTCTTTCCAGGGTATCTCTTTGCACTCCCCCCTCCCCGCAAGAAAAGCCGTCCAGTCCTCTCTCCAATTCCGTTCCCTGTAGGCGAATGCAGGACGGGGGGAGCGGCTCTGAAATGAGTCTCAGTGGATGCCACCTAAGGGAAAGACTCCTCGAGGGTAAAACCGTTCCCTCCCCACTCCTGTCACGTACCTTCTCATCAGTGTTTCCTGCAGGGTGTCTGCGAATGGTGGCCGTCATCAGTGGATGCCGGCATTGGAGGAGGCCGCTGGGTTTGTCCTCGGTTTGACCCTGCACCCAGCCCAGACCCCCAAAAACCACTGCCACCTGTCACACAACAAAAGTTTATTGAAAAATAAAGTTCTCCCTAGTTTTCTCTACAACACTGGAAAACAAAGCAGTGTTCTCTATGCAGGTACAGTACATGTGGACAGCGACACCTTACTTGCAGAATCCTGTACTACGTAACCCCGGAAGTGAACAGCAGAAAATGGTTGTACCAGGAGCTCTTTGAAGACACACACGCAAACGGCCGTTAGCTTAAGGACATCAAGGTTGGGACAGCAACTACAATAGAAAAGATGGCACCTTCTCCTTTGGCATCGATCATTCTGTTCTTGTCCCGTGAATACTTGGGCATGACAGTGAGCAACGTGCTTCCCAGGTCTGCTCCATCTTGTCTTTGGCGGAGGTGGCGGCCCCCACTAAGGTCCCGTCCTGCTGTTCCCAGCAAGGCTTTCGAGGCCTGTGGCATTACCCGCCTGTCTGAGCACCCACACCTGTCCCCCGACATGGGCCCCCCCACCATAGGAGCACACAGCTGCCCTCTGCCATGCCTCACCAGCTGCTGGGGTGGGGGGTGGTCCTAAAGCGTCACAGAATCTGGGGTTAGACGGAACGAAGCTCTGAAGAAGGAGAATTCCAATCTTATTCCCACAAACATAGAAGACTGCTGATTGCCCTAAAGAACACAAAGGAACTTAGAAGGACCCTGGACCCCAGCAAATTCATCCGTACTCCTAACTGCAGTCTATCCAGAATAGTGCCGAGACAGAAGATAAAACTCTACGACAGGGAAGAAAGCCGCAAAACCCCCCATAAAACAAAAGGCAAACTGGTATTTAGGTGATCTGGGAAAACATCACTGAGCAGCCTCTTGGGAGCGGTTCTGAAGACACTCTGTATCCCCCAACCTCCCTGCCCTCCATAGCTCCACCTGAGTGGTCAGATCATTTTGGGGTCCCCAGGCTGGCCGAGCCGGGTTGGGGGAGAGGTGGGTCTTCTCGGGGAATGGGGCCAAACAGACACGCGACTGCTAACCAGCCCAGGGTCTGATCCCTGTGGGTTGGACTGTGGAGGGGCTGCCCCGGCCAGCAGGGAACAGCAAAGGGACTTCCTAGGGAATGACAAAGTTCAACTGGTCATTCCTTTCTCCTTAAATAAAACACAGGAAGTCTTTATTACTTCATTTCAGAGGAATATAGGTAACTGATTTAAGGGGTACAATCTGTCCGAGAACTTACTTTAATTCTAGCTCAAAAAGTTCTACAAAGAAGAACCCTAGCATGGTCCAGAAGACATCAGTGGGGTGAGGTCCAACACTGGGTCACCCTTTTCGTCTCCAGTTTACACATTCTTACAGCCTCGTTCCCTCTGGGGCTGAAGTCAGGCATATTTGCAAATCAGTCAGTGCACTCGGGGATACAGTAACATTTCAACCAGCAGGATGGGTACAGGACTTGGACATCTCAAACCAGAAATTCCTACAACATTCCATCAACTTGGAGGAGTATTTTCATGGAGGTATAACTTAGCTCTTGATTTCTCAAATTTTATGAAATGCTAATAATAACAATATTTAACATTTACGAGGGCTTACTATGTGCCAGACACGGCTAAACACTGAATCCTCACAAAACCCTAAGTGCTAAGAAAGCGCGGGTAACTTGTTTCTGCATCTGAGACTATACAGCTAATTGGCCTTTTGCTAGAAAAACCTAAGCTTCCAGTTTTTGCTGAAGCCAACAGGAATGAAAGAACTCACCCTCAGCTTTCCAGGTAGGAAATCCCCACCTCCCCAAAGAAGTCTGAATCTCCTTCTGTCTATCCCTCTCTTCCCACGGAGATGCTCTGCAGCCCTACAGGGATGGATGGGATTAGAATGAAGCCAATGTGGAAATTAAAATATTTTAAAATAAATAAAGAAATCCAGGCCTGGGATGGTAATACAACCGAGCCTGTCGTTAACAAAATAGACTTTTTTTTAAAATCAAAGATTTTGGGGACATGGGAAAAGGTGGTATTTGTCCCAATTATATACACAATGTAGTTACACCAACTTGGAGAAATCGGGTGGCCTGCCTTGGTCTCAAAAGCACAAACCCACCTGTACACAGCATACAATTTTATCACCTTTACTCAAATAAACCCCGTGTTTCCTGAGGAAACAGCAGGGGTTGCATGTTCTTCCCCCCCCTTATGATAATCACATCAAGCGGGGACTGCTTTTTCCCAGTGCAGCCTCACAGGTAGGACTGGTCTCATGCCGCAGCCACACATCACCAGGGTGCCTGAGTTGCAGGGAGCACAGCCTGTTGGCGACCAGCTCTCCTCAGATCCAAAGATGTGGCCAGCAGCCCGGGAGGAAGCCAGACCTTCTCTTGGGGGTTCTCATTGCCTTATGGGGGTGCAGGAGCACAGAGGCTGTGGCCTAGGGGGCTGGGAGGGTATTTCTGGTGCCCATCCTGAGCATCCTCGGTGACACAAGGAAGTGTCCTATCTTAAATGGTACCAAGATTCTAAAAACCAACCCCAAAGAAAAGTGAAAAGGCACATCAGAGAAACAATAAATATCAACATAAAGCAAACACACACACAGAAGCAAACTAAAGCAGTGACCAAAACCCAGTCCAAGCAAAAATGCAAAAAAGTTTCTCCATTTGTACATGTGCAAATCAAATTACTTACATGAAATAAAGGAGGTGTTTACTGGCATTAAAAGAAGTGTGCTTCCCCTTTCTGGAGTTTTCACTCCCAAAAATGTTTAAGGTTCAAAGGAAAGCTTTCTCTCTTTTAATAAATTAGATATATTTCCCTCATGTTTAAGAATTTGGTAAGATCACAGTGGCGGGGGGCGGGGAGCCAAATTTTACTAAAGAAAAGAAAATGGAGAAAAACTGGCAAGGTATGCTTATGACATAGGAAGACAAGGATCCTGGTTTAGGATTCTGTTCAGATGGCAGTAGCAACACCACCAGAGGCTCCCAGCTGTCCTGAGAGGCACAGTCCTCTCCCAGGGTAGCCAGCCCCGGTGCCCCTTCCACACAGGGTGGATGGAGGCCTCCTCCCTAGTCTCCCCTTGGGGGGTGGGGGCAGGGCACTGATCAGGCCTGGGCCCCTGGGGGGTGGTGGCCTGGGAGCTGCTGAATACATTTGGGTGTCACTGCCTCTACCTCTAAAGCCCCAGACACCTGGAGTGCAGGTTTGCCCCCGGAGCAGCAGCCCCACCTGCGGAACTCCAGGTCCTTCTGGCCACTACTGGACTGTAGGAGTGGGGGGTGCCACAGGGATCTTCAAGTGCGGGGAAGGGCTCTGCCGGCCTGCTAGACCTGAGTCCTGATGGCGAGGAAAGGAATAGGGAGGCTGAGAGGCCCTGAGCTCAGCAAACAGGAGAGCCACAAACAATCCCCGCAGCTTCCTGGCTTTCTGAGTCCCCAGGCTTACTGAAACAGCTCTGCAAAACAGGTTGGTTAAGCGGGCCCAGCGAGAGAAATCCGGTCTCGGCCCGCAGGCTCCCCCTGCTGGCCCAACGCCTGCATGGCAGCCTCACCTCTGGAAGCTCCCAGAAGAGCCCAGCAGAGGGCGGCCCTGGCCCAGGGATTGTAGCCCTGGGAGCTCAACGGAATTGCCACAAGAAACCCAGAGGCCCATTCATAGGGAAAAGCAGTTCCTAACAACACCGAAGACAGTTGTTTTCCTACAGCAGGAACTGCCCTTGCAAAACTTGCAGGAACATTAATATATATATATATATACACACACACACACACACACACACCCCGGATCACCAAGATTCCCTCAACTCACACGCCCTTACTGCGGGGCTCAGGCAGAGGGTGCTCTCGGTGAGTTCCGGAGGGGTCCTAGCACCGCTCAGGGCAGAGGTCTCCCTATCGGAGCTCTCCCTGTCACATGTGCTCAGGGGCCACCTGAAAGCTGCTGCTCCTCACCCCCTTCACTGTCTGGTGTTAGAGGGGACATTCAGACCAACCGAGAGTCTAAGGGGAAAAAAAAGGCTGGCTGGGCACTTGATACTATTTACGCACCACGGAAGAATGGAGAAGCAGGAACAGTCTAACTTCCCATACCCAAAGGCTCCACAGGCCCCGTGGTCTGCAAGAGGCAGGATTCCTGATCTAGCTCCCTTCCCGAAGGCCCACCCAACCGTGAGCCCTGCCAGCCTGTCCTATGGGGCGGAGGCTGGGCTGGCTGTCCCGGACGGCAGCCAGGGTGCCGGCAGCGAGGGTGCAGGGGCGGAGAGCATGGTGCTAGGTGACCAAGGCACTCAGCCACCAGGGAGGGCTGGGGGGCTCAGGCCACAGCTCATGACTGGGATGTTCTGCGAGGAGGAGAAGAGGGCTCACCGTTACCAGCCTGGAGATGCCAGGGGCTTCACAGGAGACATGCGCACTTCCAGCCAGAGCACTGAAGCAGGGCCGGTGGGGGGCAGGAAGCTCCCATCATGGTGGACAGTGGGGAACTCCGGGGTTAGCGGGGGACATCCAGTGAGTCTGACCGGGCCAACCTGCCAACTCAGGATGCCACCCCCCCACCCCCAAATACTCGAGCCTCAAGTAAGAACCAGCATCAGACTCCAGCCCCATGCGAGAGACACACCCATGCACTCTCACCCACGGGCGATTGCCAGGACCACACACCACATTCAGCCGGCCTGCCCCTGCTCCCCCTGCCAACATCAGGGCCATGGAGATCCTCCTTCCTGCAACTCTGGTGACAGGAGACACGAGAAGGAGTAGAACACAAGCCCACCTGTCTGGAGCACAGCTGTGGTGGCGTCACTGGTTCTAAGGGGCCAGCTTCACGCCTATCCACACCCCAGCTCAGATCACCCGCTTGGAGTAAACAAGCATGACCCATGCTTCTACTTTCCTCCTTCCAGTGGCAATGGAGAGAGGGTGGATTCACCACCAACCAGCAAATATCAATTCCCCAATCCTGTTTTTCTTTCCTAAA